CGAGTGAAAGCTTATGGCGAACTGTCATCTGCTTTTGCAACCCCAAGTGGTGTACTTCAAGGCTGTTGTTGTGGATGCGGAGGAATAGACCAATAATTATCATGTTAAGTCCAATGGTGTCCTTGGACTTTAAATGGACATTGTCTATTGGTCGATATCTGTTCACTTGTTGAATATTGTACAAAATGTTGTTTTCTATTTTATGGTACGATGTGGTGTGCTTGATTGGTATATAAACAAAGTATGTTTGAAATATAATGATTCATATTTTCGAGGCTGTGACTTGTGTTCTGGACTCAACAGGCTGGGCTAGACAGGGAAGTGGGACCAACCGAGACTCTAGGCCGTCCGTACGTGTTTACGTGTCACTGTAATCGATCGGTTAGTACTCTGCTCTCTAATATCCCAGTCAAGGACACAACAATTAGCACAGGGTAAAAATCGACAGCAACCTAAAGGCATAACAGCTGTCCACCTTCTCCATTTTTGTTTAACTTCATCATAGACCTATTGATGCAAATAACATTCTCGTCTACTGAATTCTCGATCGCCTTCCAGGAGGTCTACTTATCGACTTAGAATACGCGGATGACATAGTCCTGTTTGGTGAAGACGCTGATAGAATGCAGTCTTTTGGTAGCGCTGAGCAACAATGACAGAATGTTTGGAATGCGCTCCTCTCCCTCTAAATACAAGTTGTTGCTTCACGACTGGTCTGCGTTAACACCTAAACTAAGGATAGGGAGTGAAGTAGTCGAACGCGTTGACAACTTCACTTATCTTGGGAGTCTGATCAGCCCTAATGGGTTGGTGTCCGACGAAGTCTCAGCACGGATTCGAAAAGCTCGATTGGCTTTTGCCAACTTACGTCGCGTATGGCGAAGGCGAGATATCCGTCTATCAATAAAAGGACGAGTATACTGCGCGGCAGTCCGTTCTGTTTTAATTTACGGCAGCGAAACATGCTCATTAAGAGTAGAAGACACTCGTAAGCTACTAGTATTTGACCACAGATGCCTCAGAAATATTGTTGGCATCTGCTGGGATCACCGGGTAAGTAATAGTGAGGTTAGACGCAGGGTATTAGGAGATGATGGTAAATCAGTCGATGGGGTTGTGAATCTTCATAGACTGAGATGGTTGGGCCACGTGTTACGTATGCCTGAACACCGATTACCATGACGTGCAATGCTAACCGGTGTTCGGGATAGTTGGAAGAAATGTAGGGGCGGCCAAACCAAAACGTGGCATCAGTGCTTGAAGTCACTAACTTCTAGTCTGAGCCATGTTGGTAGATGCAGACTACTTGGTTGGGGTAGGCGTGACTATCGTAACCAATAGTTGGAAACTCTTGGTGACGTGGCTCAGAATCGATCTCAATGGCGTCGGTGTATACACTCTCTGTCTTCTCTTAAACCGTGAGATTAAAATCGCTTCATATCTTTCTTTCTACGAACTAATTCTTTCTTCCTGTACTATATCCTTATTGCAATCTTTCTTTTATATATTACCACCTCTGAATTAACTACTTTTATGAATCCGGTGTCCATCTTGTTGTGTTAATGAGGTATGGCAACTTGGACTGATGCATATATGTGCCTGGTCCTACGTTGTAGCTGACTGACATGAATTATCACTATATTGATGAAAATGATAGAAAAGAAGGTCTGATTCTATAGTGTAAATATCAAAGAGTTTATATATAATTAAAAATTCGATGACATGCTACATTCATAATCTTTAATGTCGCTTGTAAAATTACTCATATTTACAAACAATTTTATTATATTACACGATAATTTGCATTTTTGAATATATTATCACGAAACCAAATTCTGGTAAAAAAAAAAAAGCAACGACCTAAATATTCAAAAACAGATATATGTTTAATCCGATCAAATTATTGACTTATTCTACATTTACATTGCTTATATATCTAAATTTATTATGATTGAATAATACTTGATAACATTAAAATGCTAATTGTAATAATATGCAACGTTCGAGGAGATTACAATATCACCTAGGACAGGCTAACAGAACGAAAATCAGCAACACAACAACAGGACTAGTTAAGCTATTCCACTGCGCAACAGCCCAACTAACTAGAGGGAGAAGACCAGATTCAGCCGAGAAAATATCTATTCCACAAGCAGCCGGGAAGCACGAACGAACAAGCACACAACTCATGAGTATACATACAGCACAAAATTGTCTTTGGAAAACGTCACAAAATAGTGTACTGAAAGAGGAAACGAGTCAATGACATTTAAAGTCCTTCCTGGTGGGAAATACAAACTGAGGGTAGAAATTGATGTTTTGGCGCGAAAATGAGAAATTCAAATTTTCATGGTAAAATTTAAAAATTGAGACGTTTACCAAGTGATTTCTGGGGATCTAGCATCCTCAACATAATAAAAAAGGATAGTGTACTAAGAAACCAATTCATTTCAATTCTGAGGAGAGCAAGAACAAAGATCTGACTAGAATAACATAGATTCATTTTATTCTTACTCATATTTATTTATTTGAACACATAAATATTGGTACAAGGGGGCACCAGATATATATGCACCACACAGATTCTTACTTATGATCATTGCGCAATCACATGTCTGTAGATTCCTGTCCTTTTGTTACTATCAGTGTTGAAATATGTTTCTTTCAAATTAGATACATGTTAACAATATTTTATTTAGTTTACAAGACTCAGTCACACCCTTGCTATACTACACTGATAAGTGAACATTTAAAAAAACTCCGATCAAGGTTTATCATATAAGTAATTTGAACCCATTTTGTAATTAGGATTTTTAAATATTACGGGTTGTAAGCCGCTGGTAGGAATCAAACGAAATGAAATAAATGTATGTTATTTCGCTCAAATCTTTATTTTTGCTATCCTCAAAATGATAAAGAGAACTGTGTGTATATGATTTCACTATGATAACTTTTTATGTATAATAACTGTCAAATTTTAGCATTTCGTCCAATTTGCCAATAATGATTAGCATATGATGCTAATGTTGTTTACTCTACTGTTTCAACATAAAATGAACTTGTCTGATTATGATTAGCAGGTTATGGGATTATTTCCCACCAGTAAGTCAAATTCCTTAAGATATGTTATCGTGGAAAAATGCCATTATGAAACCCCTATTCTTTTCATAATGTTTGTTTAACTAATTAGTCAGTCAGTCATATGTATTATAGAACCTGGAACACATATTTATCGATGCAGGTGTCATACCACGTAAGCACAGTGAGATAAAATTATCGAAACAACTCCCTGGATAGTGAAAGTAGTAACAGTCCCAGTAGTAGTAGAAAAGTGACAGTGAGACAGATTTAATTCAAACATGTAAGATTTAATATTGGAAAAAGATTCGTATTATTTTTGTTGCATTCTCGAGTAACAGGATATGAGAAGTGCAGACATTCAGAAATATGTGACTGGACATAATGAAAATAATAAACCTATGAGCATTATCATTTTTAAACATCTTAAAGGGGATGTCGGTTTAATAGCTTCCATATAGCTCATGACCAATTTATGATCTTAATGTTTTTACTTGGACTTTATCCGTGAATACTGAACTTTATCAGTTTTTCCGAAATGATTTTCAATATATCGATTCTTCACAATATCGTGTGACGTAAGATATGTCTCAAAGCCTTCCTATGCCAAGTATTTTACTTGTTATAAACAGGTGATTAATTAAATACAACCAATGTCTATGACAATGATCATCCAATCTCAAATAAGTACAGTGATTCTTAAAACTGACTGAATTTACGCTAAAATCACCTACTCAACTTCAATGGTAATAACCATGTGTTGATCAGTGACTAACTCTGAGGTAATTCCCGGGGTTTCAGTAATCAGTCGTGACCAGTGGATCTCAACCATGAAGAGTGTGAGGCAGTTACCCATCAATAAAATTGGGGGATGGCTGTGTAATTATGAGAATAGATTCAAGTTAAACATGTAAACCATTAGATACTTGCTCAGTGGTTTAAAGACTAAGTACTCGCTGTGGGACCTGAAGGTCCTAGACTCGATTTCTAGTGGAGTTATGAATGATTAATTATCGGGAGCTCCACATTAGAACGAAACATCTGTTCAGTGTTTCCTAACTTTAAATGGTTATTTGATTAAGGCTGGTTCGTGATATTAACCATAAAACCCAAAAATCTTTACCAACCCCCTATACAGTATTCAAATTTTAGCTTAAGCTGTAAAAAAGTATAGTATACTCACATTTCAGTAAGTGAACTTCTTCATTGAGACATGAACATGGTAAACCCCACTTCAAATGTGAATCTTTCTTATTAAGATACCAAGTGAAGACTACCAGGAACTTTCCAAAGGTACGAACTTACTTTCAAATGTGAATCAATTCGATACATAGCTTAAATAGTTAGAATTACAATTATTTTCAAAAATTCATTAATCACTAGAATAATGATCCACTGACTACTTTTGATATTTTGGAGTGCCAGTAAGTTGCCTAATCGTTTTCCTTTCAACTCAGTAGTATCACTAACTAATGCACACAGACATACATAAACTTCAACTTGATTACCGATTTGCATCGTTATCCATTTAATTCAATTATACACAACTTCCATTCGCCAGTTAACAGAACAACAGATAACATATATTATTTCAAACGAACCTGACGATGAGAATAATATAATTAGAAAGATAAGCGATAGTATAAAGACTGTCTATGCGTAAAAAGAACGTGGCTTCAAAATATCAATATTACTACCACTGATTTTATTCATTTAGAATACGTTTTGGTGAGCCAATTTACAACAGCTTGTTGGCAGGAGGCAGTAAAATTCACACTCAATCATACGATTTCCGTTGACAGTCAATCAGTTCACATCAATGCAATTATTTGATGCCATTGTTGAAGTACCATACTAATAAGCTTTATGAAATATTTAACAAGATTTGCTAGTAAATAAACTCAAAGAAATAAAACGATTACCTCAATTTACGGATTTGTTTTTTCATTTGATCATCAGATAAATTGTCAGTACTCCTTAATTTCATTAATAGGGTATTTAAATAAAGTTTGCCTAACAGATTATGATTTTCTGGATGCTAAAATACAAAATAAATAAACAAAGATCATCATAAAAATAGAAGTGGGTTTGTATTTGAAGTGAAGATAATAACAAAATAAGTAGTATTTATGAGTTTCATAGTAAAGAGGAGTACTAAATCATAAAATTACAAATTTTGTGACGTACTCATAGTAGTATGATATTCGATTAATATATTTGACATGAGAAAATATAAAACTCTGAAAACAACAATGTCTTGATTGTATATTAGCATCAATACAACTGAAATCTTACGTTTCTTATGAGGATATGCAGTAAAAACTATTATACAGATTGTAATAAGAATAAACGCAGTTCCTTCTAATGTGAAAAGTAATTTTACCACAGATTGACACTAACTGGTTTCACCAGTTTCAACCATAAAATCAATGAATCAAAATTCAAAGGTAATGAGCTCACTGAAAGACCTGGAGGTCTCGAATAAGACGCTTGGTAAGGTAGAAGAGACATTCCAAAACTAAATAGAAAATAAATCCAATGAGCCTTGGATTTCGAAGATTCCGAAACTGGGAAAAAACCACCTTCACACTAAATAAATCTACATAAACCACTCAATGGGACAATATCTTACTTTAATTTAATGCGAACCCTCGACAATTTAAAATTTCCCTATCGCCCCAGTATCCTGTTCTTCTCTTCAAATTCAATTTCACTTTTTTAAGCTATGCTACTTAGAAGTGTGGTAAGTTGAATCCATGAATAAGTAATATTTTAGCAAGAATGAATATTAAAAAGATCATTTATAGCTAACTAAAACTAGGTTCACAAAATAGGTCATATAGGATAAACATTGAGAAATATTCTTTCAATAACATTCAAGTCTCAATTCTAGGTAACTTGTGTTATGAACTCTCTTATTACGACCCAGCTACCCGGGTTGCTTAGTGATCTTGAACACAACTTCAATCGATAAATCACCAAATCGGAAGACGGTTGAACAGGAACGTAATTGTATTCCAAATAAACAAGGGTGAATAGAAGTAAGAATCACAAAAAGAAAAATGATAGTACATATATAATTTCTTCACAACATTCTACAGTCTTCTCCAAGTATATACTGGCGCTGATTGTTTTTTTCTCAACTAATTAGCATGCCACAACACACCCCTGTAAGGAACACGCTTTAATTCAATCTATATTCTACTAACGTGTTCAATAAAGAGAGAAAGTAAACAATATTGATTATACTGAACCAATTTGAATAAATCACTTCATCTCATGGAAAATTCTATCCCAGAAATTACTACCACGGTTTTAGAAGCACTTGAAATTAGAGTTATTTGCAAACCAGCACAATCCCAGCAGTCTATTTTATACAAAAAAATGATGGAACAATGAGGGGAAGCAGGCTCGACAAGATAGATTGTATCAAGTACGAAAACTATTAGACCGGACACCTATTCATAAAGATTAGCAGATAGACAACAATATGTTGTTACTTAAATCGATGGACATAGAAAACCACAAAGAATTAAAGAATACTGGAAACTTTTGGAAACCTCAAGTCAATCCGCAGTCAATGGAGATATTGACACAAGTTTAATCTGTTAACTGGTAACCATAACGTTAATCAATTACAAGGTAAGAGGACAGCCTACCACAACAGTCATCGAGGATCAATCGATTAACAACAGGATTATCAGGAGGAACTAACTGCACGTTCAAAGAATGATTCTATAATTCTTAATTAAATAGAAGTTAAGTACTAATCATGCTATCCCATTTGAACCATCCAAACCAAGGATTCAACACTATATACATTCATCTATGCTAAAAACTCTCTCGATTGTTTCCAACACTTTCGCTGTCAACTTCTTGTTTAATATCAGACATTCACACTGCACACAAGCACACACGTAGTTAGACTTTTCATACTACTGTTTCCATTCAAAACATCATCACAACTATCAGTGCAACTTTACAGAAAGTTTTAAACTCCAGAAATTACGATCAACATAAGACATGCTAAATGCATTAAATCCTATAAAAATAAAGCGCAGTACACCGATTGTGCATTCTGAGATTTTTCTCAGAAAAATTTTCATGACCAGTCATTTTACAAGAGACCAGAGGACTTACACAATTGGGTAGAGAAGAACACAAATGTTTCAAATAAGTCATTGTCATATTTGGATATGAAGAAATAAGGCTTTTAATAATATGATTAGGTGATAGAATTTGGGATGGTGCAAGGCTACTTTCCAAGGACGTTTCGGTTGTACTGCCTTCAATAACAGACAATTCACATGATGAATTAACATAACTTGAGGGAATAGGAAAACGTAGCATGAGCTGTTCAGCTATAATCTCATGATTAGTTGTTAAAGCTTGCATAAAATGATTCCAAACTAATTCAGAATAAACAGAGAACTCATAATTTACATCATTTGACGAATGAATAGCCGCTCCCTTATAAAGTGATTGTTTCTGAGAGTCAGTTGAATTATGCGCGGATAGGCTAAAATGTAAAACATGATTAAGTAGGTAAAAGCATCATTATTAACCTTCATTCATATAGAAGTAAACAAAATAGATGGTGTATAAAATATACCATGAATTCTGAATCTTAGTGCTACTATAAAAACCATGAGTCTACAAAGACCTTTGTTAGATTTCAAATATTTTAGTCGATTTAATTTCTTTACAACCGGTAAACATCCATTTAATGTTTTATTAAAAACACATTTGATGGATAAGTTTGATTGAATTCATATCAAGAACAAACAACATCTTACATTCGACTAGCTCCTGATATCTCATGTCATTATCCAACATATAATAACATGTTTCAAAGTATGAGTGATTACATTTGTATAGTTCATTAAAATACGTAAAATACAGTACAATGCAAATAATGAATAAAATAAGAAATATAAACTTTTTAAACTTACTCCAATAGTATAGAAATATAAAATTCTACTCCTGGAAAACTTGAATCATTTAGTTCATTGTAAACTAGTCTAAAAATAAATTACATAAATCGAGGAATTTAGCCAACATATCTTGAAATGTATTTTACTGATTCATATTAATGTATGTATTCGAAAAAAAAGCTATAAAAAAATATAGAAATTTCTTTAAATGTACGAGTAAATTCATTCCACTTTTGAGTAGAACTAAGAGACAATCAACATGAATAAGAAAAACAAAATGTTATGATAAACAAAACAGACAAAAATTCAATAGTCGCCACAGTTAAATCAGTTGTTTATTCAGAAACTTTATAAATTCCTTTATTAGTATTTTAGTTGTCATATCCGAAGGACTTAAGAAATGGTAACTTCTACGGCTAATTTATGAGCTATTATTATATATAAATATATACTTCTCATATATATAAACGCTGACTGTCTACTGATTGAGTATGATTTAGGTAACCTGTATACCAATTCACAGTATTACGATATTATCTACAAAGACAGTAAATAAACAAAAAAAGATCTGCGGTAAAACGAAAGCCAATTTTTAATAAAACCTAATTAATTTTGTTATGTGGGAAGCTGGAACGCTGTAAATCACAGCATCATATGTATAAAAAGATCTAACTGGTAGACATATACAAGTAAATACAGATTAATCAAGAATAAATGAGATGTTAAAACTACCCCTACTTACTTTCGCCATATTTCCAATGCACCTGAAAGGTTACCTTGCCAACGATAAATAAGCGCCAAAGCATGGTAAGCATTATTATTTTCTAAGTAGACAGTTAAATCTTCCACGTCAATGTGTATCAAGCTTGAAATCAGATCAACTAAACCTTGATTATTATTGTTAGTTGACTTAGTGAGACCACCTTCACCTGACTGAGAATCACTAGAAGACGTATCAATGATTAATTCATAGGGATATGGTTGAATACCAGCCTGTTGTAATCGAACGTACAGTTTAACTAAAGCAGTTTCTACAAACTGAAAGAGAAAGAAAGAGCAAAATGAACTTACTGTAAAGTTTAAAATAAGGTAACTCAGAACATGATAAAGATAACAGTTAAAAACTCTAAACGTTAGGTTTACCGGTAAATATTTTCAATGATCAATAATCGCACACATTTCAAAGTACTACAACATGTTGCACAACTACTCTATAAGAAATATTGGTTACTCCAAGACGAATACTGCAGTGAAAATATATTTAGTAAACAGAAATCAAAGTTTCACCATTGAATCATCCAGCTCAGAGAACACAACACCTAAATTGGATAACGGTTTCTGTTAGCGGTTCACACCAATTTATAGATGTCGTGTGAATAAAAAAAAGTAGACTGATTACCAAGAAGTGTTGATGTAAAGTCTTTAAATTTATGCAACTTTTCCCAGTAGTTAATTTCTTTAAACTTATGAAAATTACCAATGATCAGAGGTGGAATGACCAGTTAGTAACCAATTCCACATTCTCCCACGATTGCACTACGATTTGTAGACTAAACTTACTGGGTGATGACTAAAGCCATCGACTGAAGAAGCCAAACTAATCGGTTTGCAATTCAATATCTATTTGTGAACTTATTAGTTCACAATTCAATAGTATTCATAATTAATTATGTGAAAATGTATTTAACAAGCGAGGAAATGACAGTAATGATATATTTAACCATACTCACATGTAAATGCTTCTCAACAAATTTACTTTTATGATGTTTACGCAAAAAGTTGAAAAGGAATTCTTCATATTTTAATAACCATGATGAACTAATTGTTAGATCATGATCATCATTATCTGAATCTTCTGCAGCTCTTAAAATGCACAAATCACTAGTCAAATTAATTCCAGACGTTTGAGCATTATCGTCATTATCATGATTAGCTTCGGGATTAGTCTGATGTAGTTTGTAAAACCAATTTGGCATAAAATAACAACCTTTTGGCAAGAGATCAGAATACCGAAACAGAATCTGATTGCAGAAAAGAAGGAATAAACAAACGTTTTTTTTTAATTTTCACATCCTAAGCAGTAAATAAATTGTAATACATAAATAGAAGCAAGTTGCGTTCATACTTAGGTACAACCATTCATAAACCTATGTTTATAAGTCTTGATTGATGTCATAGTTCAACAAAATATCGGTAAAACATCGTATGTGATGTGTACTGATAAACTGAAATAATCCACTCAGTTTCAAAAAAGTGCAGTAAGATGATATCTGAATTGTAATAATAATACTAAGAATTAGTGGAATTGAACAACCGAATACGAAGGTGGATATGCCGGCTGTGACATTAAACTTATTTACGCCTGTTACTCCCAATGGAGCATAGGCCACCGACCAGCATTCTCCAACCTACTCTGTCCTCCGCCTTCCCTTCTAGTTCCATCCAATTCTCGTTCATTTTTCGCATGTCTATCTCCATTTCTCGGCGTAATGTGTTCTTTGGTCTTCCTCTCCTCCTCCTTTGGCCTTGAGGATTCCATGTGAGGGCTTGTCTTGTGACGCAGTTGGGTGCTTTCCTCAATGTGTGTCCTATCCACTTCCAGCGCTTCTTCCTGATTTCTTCCTCCGCTGGGATCTGGTTTGTTCTCTTCCACAGTACGTTGTTGCTAATAGTTTCCGGCCAACGGATCCGAAGTACTTAGCGTAGACAACTTTTAATAAACACCTGTATTTTCTGGATGATGGCTTTTGTAGTTCTCCAGGTTTCTGCCCCATACAGTAGAACTGTCTTGACATTTGTATTGAAAATCCTGACCTTGGTGTTGGTTGACAGTTGTTTTGAGTTCCAGATGTTCCTCAGTTGTAAATATGCTGCTCTTGCTTTGCCGATCTGCGCCTTCACATCTGCATCAGATCCACCCTGTTCATCAATGATGCTGCCCAGATATGTAAAGGTTTTTACATCTTCCAAATCTCCTCCGTCAACTGTGATTGGATTGGTGCATGCTGTGTTGTATCGGAGAATCTTGCTTTTCCCTTTGTGTATATTGAGACCTACTGCTGCTGAGGCTGCTGCCACACTGTTCGTCTTCACCTGCATTTGTTGTTGCGTTTGCGATAGAAGGGCCAGATCATCTGAGAAGTCTAGATCGTCCAACTGCATCCTAGATGTCCATTGTATCCCGTGCTTTCCTTCAGATGTTGACGTCTTCATGATCCAGTCGATCACCAGGAGAAAGAGAAAGGGTGAGAGTAAGCAACCTTGCCTAATACCGGTCTTTACTTCGAACAAGCTTGTCAACTGTCCTCCGTACACGACTTTGCAGTTTAATCCATCATAGGAATTCCGTATGATATTGACTATCTTCCGAGGCTGGCCGTAGTGTCGAAGAAGTTTCCATAGTGTTGTTCTTTCCACACTATCAAATGCTTTTTCTTAGTCAATGAAGTTGATGTAGAGTGATGAATTCCATTCAATTGATTGTTCTACAATCATCCGTAGAGTTGCGATTTGGTCTGTACACGATCTATCCTTATGGAATCCTGCCTGTTGGTCACGAAGTTGGGAGTCTACGGAGTCCTTCATCCTGTTTAACAATACCCCGTTGAAGACTTTTCCCGGCATTGAGAGAAAAGTGATGCCCCTGTAGTTATCACATACGCTGATTAAACTCAAAACAACTTTTTGCTTCTAGTGTTAAATAACATGTTGAAGGTAGGGATTCCACGAGTTTATGTTTGTTTGATGCTGAATTAATAGATAAACTCTCTAATCAAATAAGAAACAATGTAATGATATTTACCGTCTAACCAATAATAAGTTAATTCACTCACCTTTGAGCTATACTGTATTTGGGGGTGCTAGTGATACTACTCGTTTGTTTAAATCGAGGTAGATTGAGAAGGCTTTCATACTTCCATTTGTTAGTTAAAACTCAAGTGCCTTCACCACTGACCCACCGCTCAAAAAAGAATATATCTCATTACAATTTACTGTAATAGACTAAATATTAAATTTGTAATAAAACGTAGTAAGTTTCATTCTAAATAACTGCATCATTTATTTGAAGAGTTTTTAACACGGACTGATTTTAGCTTAAAAAGCATTAAGAAACCAACAGAAATGAAAGAGCTGAGTCACATGAGTTTGTGACATTTATACCACTGAGTTGCAATCTAGTGGTAGTATATAGTTAGTCACAGCTTCAGTCTATCTAATTATGGAGTGACAATAACTGTCTTATTCCTGACATGATTAATTTCACAGATCACAGCTTAATAGGCTAATTATCAATATACCAAAATAAGAACCACTTCAAATATAATAATAACAATAAAGGGATTATATAAAGGGAAGTAACTCACTTCACGTATGTCTATAGTGCTCTGTTCAAAGTAGGAAGCTGCTTTATCTAGTTCGCCCTTTTCAAAATGATAAAATCCTAAAAGTCCAAGTACCCGTTGACGTCTCTGGAAAAGCAAAATATAGGAAATCGTTTTGTTATTAATTATCACAATACTAAAAGATATGAAAGTGACAAGGAAAGTAATCGGCCCAAAAAACATAAATATTTCAATAACTTTAATTAACTTTAGAATATTAGATAAAAGTTCCACGACTTATTGAAACTACAGCCCTGTAGTGATTAATGAATTATAAGTTAATCTGCGAATATATCCTTACGACTTAACACGTAAATCCAACAGTACACCAAAAGTCAAAACACAAGATGTCAGTTGGAATCATTTGTTTGACAGACGCTATGCTGGAGAAAAACTATGAGTGTAAACTGATTGGATAAAACATTGGGGTCAGTAACAAGTCAACTCAATTTTGTGACTCACCTTATATAGTTTAAACAGACAAAGAGTAATGTAAGCTAGTAGATGAACAACAAACGAAGTGTACATAATAGCATACGTGAATATAATTAACACGAATACAGATGACAGCGGTACACGCATAGAAAGCGGCAATTACCTAAGAGAAATATAGATTTATAAGGTGTAAAAGTGACTTAATAGTTGCATACTGTCTAATCAACTAATATTTGTCTGACAACTAGAATGAATCTACTCAAGTGTTGTGAAAAGTCACACAGAAACTATCGAATCTATACAGAGAAAAAAAGGAAGAACAGCAAAGACAGTTGTAGTAATAAGCACCACATCAAAGGGTGATATAACAATGATTGTTTGAAATTTGTACGCATTACAGTGACTACTTGAAACAAAAGGCAATAACAAAATATTTTTCAGAAATAAAACAGCACATAATGATTAATATATTCAAGCAGCTTTGAAAATTGATGTGTCATTATGTTTCACTGAAACTAAACACTTTACTATGTGAAGTAAAATAGCTAAATTACTATGTTTTAAACAAGTGGGTTGTAGGTTTAAATTCCACTCCACCAATTTCGGTTTGTCTAGGTGATTAGTATTACTAACCATCACAGTGTAAATTAAAGCCAAGTACTTGGTCAGACAGCAACATAATGGTTTAAACCCATGAATAAAAACAAAAAAAGTTGATTGGATACACACTTTCCTAAATCTTTGTTAAACCCGACGTTTAAACAATTCCTAATTTGATGATTCACCTTGTTTATGTGATGTAACAATTTATCTGATAATCATGAACAATCATTAGAAAAAGGAATAAACAGATGTATAAACTATCACAATAAAATAAAACAGGAAATAAGCATGATGAGAGATTGACAAAAATCACTACAATTAGTGAATAGTTGAGAAAATAAATGTTATTAATAAAAGCCAAATAGAAATAAATAGACAAAATAAGTAGTAGAAAGAACACAGTATAAAAACAAATTATCCAACTACTTATGAAATGATATCAGCTGCAAAACTATTGGAAATCATACTGAAGCCATATCACAGTTGTGAGCGTATTATAATATAAATGTCCTTACATAATATTTCCCGGATATTTTTCTAAGATTTATGTTAGTTTCGACATTCTCATTAATCCTCTAAAGGATTGGGAAAGTAACCTCTAAGTTAAGACTAAAGCGGGATTATAATCTGACTACTACTTAACAGATGTGTGGTGGAAAATAAGTCAATTAACTTATCAGGTATTTGGGTTTTGTCCCCAGTTGTAATCAATCAATGTTTATTATCGTGGTTTATGCATCGTGACATGTGATACACGCATATCTACGCTATTTGAGTTCATATCAGTGGCTACACGATGTGACTTACACGTATCATTGGAAGTTCTTCCCTTAACGTTACCACTAATCACTTACCATTATTTTATCCACGAATAACAGTTTCAAGACACCAATGATCTGATATCAGTAGTCATCTATCTAAAACGGTAATATTTCGCATAGAAAGTTGTTGAGATATTTAATCAATCACATTGTTTAGAGATTGATGATCAAGTTTTCTGAATAGCAGACAAAAGTTCAACAGGTGTCACGCAAACGTCCACCGAAGATGTGGTCTAACACCTGCCACTTTTAACCATATGGTTAATATAGGCATCGATGAAAACCGGTCCGATAGCATAACCATGAACTGAATAAATTTATATATTGTGAAGGACAGTTGCTTTAGTTACCACGTTAATAATAAGCATAGTTTAAGAGATTTAAAATTCAGAAACCATAATAAAACTGTATCAAAAAGAAACATTGTGCATTATCTAACATATTGATAAATGACAACTCCGCCTGGAGTCCCTCCGGGGGCCACTACCGGTCCCAAGCCTGGATAAAGGAGGAGGGTTGGGCATGGGGTTAGCGTCCCTATCCCGTAGAAAACTAACTCGCTAAAAAAACGCTAACCAGAAAAAATTATTCAAACCTTTTAAAATCTGCCCCGGGAGTCAGAAGGTCTTCATTTAGAAGAATTATGACGCCTCATGGTGAAAGCCGAGGCTGATGCCCCTTCTGACAACCAGAGCGACCATTTATTTAGGTACGTGGAATGTTCGTACAATGTGGGACACCAGGAGAGCCTTCCAAATTGCTGCAGAAATGAGAAGATACAACCTAGAGGTACTTGGGATCAGTGAAACACATTGGACACAAGTTGGACAACAACGACTAGCTTCAGGAGAGCTTCTGTTATACTCCGGCCATGAAGAAGAAAATGCTCCACATACACAAGGAGTTGCATTGATGCTGTCCAAACAAGTACAAAATGCACTTATAAGATGGGAATCTCATGGACCAAGGATCATCAAAGCCTCCTTCAAAACAAAGAAAGAGGGCATTTCAATGAACATCATCCAATGCTATGCGCCTACCAACGACTACAATGAAGACGTTAAAGATCAATTCTACAATAGGCTGCAACCAATCATCGAGAAGTGCCCAACAAAGAACCTGACCATTCTGATGGGAGATTTCAATGCCAAGGTTGGAACGGACAACACTGGATATGAAGACATCATGGGACGACACGAACTGGGAGAAAGAAACGAAAATGGTGAGAGATTTGCAAATCTATGTGCCTTCAATAAACTGGTCATAGGCGGAACTGTATTCCCACATAAACGCATACACAAAACCACATGGACTTCACCGGATCACTGTACACAAAACCAAATCGACCATATTTGCATCAACAAAACGTTCAGGAGGACTATAGAGGACGTGAGAACCAAGAGAGGAGCTGATACAGCATCAGATCATCACTTGCTGGTCGCCAAGATGAAATTGAAGCTCAAGAAGCACTGGAAAATGGGCGGACAATATCACAAATGTTCAATACGACCTTTCTTCAGGATACTGACAAACTCAATAAATTCAAGATAGTCCTCAGCAATAAGTTCCAGGCCTTTCATGATTTACTCAATCGAGAAGGAACTACTGTGGAGAGCAACTGAAAGGGGATCAAAGGAGCAATCGCTTCAACATGCAATGAGGTTCTGGGCCACAAGAAGCACCATCACAAGGAATGGATCACTGTTGATACATTGGAATAGGATTCAAGAAAGGAGGGACAAGAAGGCAGCAATCAATACCAGTCGAACAACAGCAGAAAAAACCAAGGCACAAGCTGAATACACAGTAGTAAACAAGCAGGTCAAGAGGAGCATCAGAACCGACAAACGTAAATATGTGGAAGATCTAGCAATGACGGCGGAAAAGGCTGCAAGAGAAGGAGACATGAGACAACTGTATGACACGACAAGGAAACTCTCTGGAAATCGCCGCAAACCAGAACGACCAGTGAAAAGCAAGGAAGGCGAGATAATCACCAACATTGAAGAGCAGCAAAACAGGTGGGTAGAACACTTCAAAAAACTCTTGAATCGACCAGCTCCACTGAACCCACCCAACATCGAAGCAGCACCCACGGACCTCCCAATCAATGTTGGCCCACCAACAATTGAAGAAATCAGCATGGCCATCAGACAAATCAAAAGTGGCAAAGCAGCAGGACCGGAAAACATTCCAGCAGAGGCACTAAAAGCAGACGTAGCGGCAACTGCAAGGATACTCCACATTCACTTCAGCAAGATTTGGGATGAGGAACAAGTACCAAAAGACTGGAAAGAAGGACATCTGATCAAAATACCGAAGAAAGGAGATATCAGCGAATGTGATAACTACAGGGGCATCACTCTTCTCTCAATACCGGGAAAAGTCTTCAACAGGGTATTGTTAAACAGGATGAAGGACTCCGTAGACTCCCAACTTCGTGACCAACAGGCAGGATTCCATAAGGATAGATCGTGTACAGACCAAATCGCAACTCTACGGATGATTGTAGAACAATCAATTGAATGGAATTCATCACTCTACATCAACTTCATTGACTAAGAAAAAGCATTTGATAGTGTGGAAAGAACAACACTATGGAAACTTCTTCGACACTACGGCCAGCCTCGGAAGATAGTCAATATCATACGGAATTCCTATGATGGATTAAACTGCAAAGTCGTGTACGGAGGACAGTTGACAAGCTTGTTCGAAGTAAAGACCGGTATTAGGCAAGGTTGCTTACTCTCACCCTTTCTCTTTCTCCTGGTGATCGACTGGATCATGAAGACGTCAACATCTGAAGGAAAGCACGGGATACAATGGACATCTAGGATGCAGTTGGACGATCTAGACTTCTCAGATGATCTGGCCCTTCTATCGCAAACGCAACAACAAATGCAGGTGAAGACGAACAGTGTGGCAGCAGCCTCAGCAGCAGTAGGTCTCAATATACACAAAGGGAAAAGCAAGATTCTCCGATACAACACAGCATGCACCAATCCAATCACAGTTGACGGAGGAGATTTGGAAGATGTAAAAACCTTTACATATCTGGGCAGCATCATTGATGAACAGGGTGGATCTGATGCAGATGTGAAGGCGCAGATCGGCAAAGCAAGAGCAGCATATTTACAACTGAGGAACATCTGGAACTCAAAACAACTGTCAACCAACACCAAGGTCAGGATTTTCAATACAAATGTCAAGACAGTTCTACTGTATGGGGCAGAAACCTGGAGAACTACAAAAGCCATCATCCAGAAAATACAGGTGTTTATTAAAAGTTGTCTACGCTAAGTACTTCGGATCCGTTGGCCGGAAACTATTAGCAACAACGTACTGTGGAAGAGAACAAACCAGATCCCAGCGGAGGAAGAAATCAGGAAGAAGCGCTGGAAGTGGATAGGACACACATTGAGGAAAGCACCCAACTGCGTCACAAGACAAGCCCTCACATGGAATCCTCAAGGCCAAAGGAGGAGGAGAGGAAGACCAAAGAACACATTACGCCGAGAAATGGAGATAGACATGCGAAAAATGAACGAGAATTGGATGGAACTAGAAGGGAAGGCGGAGGACAGAGTAGGTTGGAGAATGCTGGTCGGTGGCCTATGCTCCATTGGGAGTAACAGGCGTAAGTAAATTAAAAGTAAAGTAAAAGTTGATAAATGACAGCCTACAACAAAACTGAATCTAATTGTAAATTTACCTTATCGAATAATTGTTGTTCATGTTTGAATTTCTCAACTTGCAACTGCATGGCTTGAGTAAGACGATTTCGTTCTTGTTGTTGTACAAGGAAAGCTTGTTTAAGACAACCAGTTAAGATGAACCTCCGTGCAATCAAATCCCAACGTTCTGGTCCTAAGACTTGAATATTTCTGATGGATGTAGTGTCAGTATTACAGTCAGATGTTCCAGTAAAGTATAGCAAATGAGCATCAGCAGAAAAACAAGCTACAGATGGCTTTTGAAGATTTATTGTTTGTATCTGAGATTGTGTCAAGATGCTAGAACAAAAGGAGAGTAGTAGGTATGTTAGTTTTAGAAGTATGAGATTAGGATGAGGAGGTTGTTAATACTATGATAATTGATAGTATAGTCTCATTTATATCTTCATCACCAATTCCTGGCGCAAAATGGACAGGACTACAGTCTGATATCATTTTAATGAAATTAATTAAAATTCTAAACATTCTTCAGTCAAATCTTAAATAATTCTATTTTCTATTGACGATATTTTTAATTGTGGTGACATTTCGTAGATAGTCACTGGATGACTGGAAAGATGTATAGAAAGAATCCATAACATTTAACAGAAATACCAGTATTTCATTGTACATCAGCAGACGACCACCCATAAAGTTAATTTATCAGTAAATACTACCTGTCAGAATGATATAGCATCTCTAACTTTAGTGTAAATTTATTTCGAAAATTTGAATTCCCTTGTTTTCGCGCCAGAAGCGCTCTTTTCACCTTCATGTCGTATTTTCCATTTGGGAGGATCTTAAACGCTATTGGTTCGTTGTACCGTTTAGTATGTTATTTTGTAACGCTTCCCAATGACAGTTTTATTCCGTATATATACGTTCGATTTGTGCCCGTTTGTTATCGCTCGTGCTTCTGGTTGCTTGCGGAATATATTTCCCCGTTTCGAACTTGAACTTCTATCTCTAGTTAGCGGGGCTGGGACTCATCAGAATAGCTAGCTTACTGGTCTTTGGTCACATAGTCTTTGTTCCGTTCGCATACTAGGCGAACTCGTAATCGCTTCAAACATAGAAAGCATTCAGACAATGAACTCATTTTAAAATTATACAAACACAAGATATTTTTAGTTCACTGAAGATTTCTTAGAAAGAAGATAATCAATAATAATTTAACTCATTCACAAGGTACTTGGATATGATCCACAAAAAAGTGAGGGTTACGGATAATACATAGTTCACAAAACTGAAGTAGATGGAGCGATGTACAAAATTGTGAATTGATGGCTGTAAATTGAATATCTTAACCACTAACAGTCACTACTGCAAATTATTTTTCGTCAGATATTTAACAAAATAGTTTTGGGTGTACGGTCCTTATGTGCATAAAAAAAGTCTTTTTTTACAGCAAACTTGTCGGGTTATATTTCACCCAAGTACAAATGGAATCTGATACTGTGTTTCTCCCATATGAGTTTATATATTGTTCTAATCCTGTAAGATCAAGCAAGCAATCATGAATGAGTTCCTCTAGTGTCTGTATAGAAGATTTATGGGATATAATTATTGTATCATCGGACACATCTCTTCGCAACGGTATGTTTTTAAGACATAGTAAATCCCTACCTCGATAGGAAAAGAGCTCAAATGTATGTTCCTCGTTTTAGAACGAATGATATTTCTTTGTTTACCAAACAGGATTAGACGGAGATTTAGGTTTGAAACTTGATTGTCAACCACCATCCCATCATTCTATTAAACATTGAAAAGTGATACAATCAAGCTACTTTTACATAATTTTTTACACCAGCAGTTTATAATTTCACTAAAACACCAAAGCATACCAGCTGTTTTTTATGATTCTTATGTTCAAAAACTAAATCTTATGAGCGCAAAAGTGTTAATCTTATAATGCTATTTATTCTGTATGATTTATATGGCCTTTTCCTTAGTTGCATGGAACTTCAAATTTCAAACAACGCTTCTGAGAGCATAAGTGACTTATTTCAAAGAGATTTTTTAAAAGTTACTGATTATAACTATATAATTAAAAAAAACAAATTTATTCAATATGTTCAACTATCTCAATGGTATGTACGATGATTTTTTGAACTAGTATCCACTATTCAGCTTTTCTTATTTTACCGCTGGAATCTGATATAACTCAGAAAACTGAGATGCTAATAAGGAATGTATTATCCTGGACAACATAAATCGATAAGAAATAGGATTGCTCCCAAGTAGTGAAATAATGTCTCGCTTGGTTACAATGATATCATAGGACCAAAACTAAACTGACTTCAAAGGATTATTAATTAATATAATTACAACTTTTAGCATACATTTTTAACCAACATAGAAGTAAAATGAAAAATGGTTTGACGGTTTATGCAGATTGGTGAAACAACGGAATGACTTGTACAGTAGGCTTATTCAGAACATGTAATAACATGAATATGGAATATATAAACTTTTACATAATCGATTAGCAGTCTAATATGTTGATACAATTTTGTCACCTACAGAAATCCCGGCGGTTCTACTTAACAAGATGAACGGAATGGCAAGTCTAGCACACGAGTACACTTAAATTACAAAAATTAAGCCAACAATTTTGCTTGTACATATAGATGTTCCTTGCCCTTACAGTTATTCCGCTCATTTTTCCTGGTTTCGATAATTGAATATTTTGCTATTTACACGTATTTATTTTAAGATCACCGAATTGACTCCGCATGAATACACTCATACGAAACGTAAAACTTGATTTAAAACATTGTAGTAGGTCATAGTCAGAAACATGTTTTAGACTTATAAATAAATTACATGAATACACGATAAAGAATTACAAAAACTCTTAAAAGTTACACATACTTGTGAATGGTAAAAAATTCGTCAGTAATAGTGAAGAAATAATTTGTCCACACAAAAACTTCTACTATATTTGGTGATAATTGAAGTGGTGCACGATGAGATACACCATTAGCATCGACAATAATACCCAATGATCCTGGACCAGAAACAATAAATTCATTCTGCAAGTATTGAATTTTTATAAGAATATATTAGTGTTCTAACAAACCTGAGTAAAATAGACTATGTAATTTCGTACTGGTTCTTTTACTGAACGCAATAACTCTGTAGTACTGTTTGTACGTAAATTTATTGATATGTAACTACTGTCCGATGCAACACATAAAAATTGTGGTGAGATGCACTAAAACAAAAGTCACTAAATCAAGCAAAAATAGTATGAATTTACAAGAGACTGTGGAACTTCTGTTAACCTGGTTTCAAAAACAAGCATACATGTTGATACAAAAATATGATGTAGTTGGATTAAACCCGATTTAAATCCTATGCACAGCTAAATTAGCGTAATAATTATACACATCATTAATTCGAATTTGAAAATGATTAAAATACCTTCTCTTTTTCATCATCGAAAGAGCACAAATGGAATGATGAAACGCCTTTGAAAGATGGAATAAAATTCATGATCTAGAAACAATAAAACAGGTTTTAAAAAATCTATTTCCATACCTCAAGTTTTTCCGCGTTACATAAGGTAAGATTTTCATCGCTGAAAATAGAAAGTGTTGTTTTTTTGGAAGAATTTTCAAGCCTTGAAATAGGCTTAGTCTGATTAGGTTAACATATAAAAAAATCAGAGATTTACAAATATTCTCCTTGATAGAACATTACTGAAACAAAATGATGTTTTATTGTCATACAACTCTTGAATAATCAATTGAGATACTAAACTTTAGTCATTATAGAAAACAGCCATACTGAACAACATACCCCTTGCTTGTTCCAATAAATAGTAAGTCTGAAAATGAACACATGGCTGTTATCTATGAAAGGATACAAGGTAACATAGTTGTCACAAAAATACCTCCACTTCAGTTTCCATAGCAGTACATGAACTTGGATGTAATTGAAATAACGAATACTTTGTGTTCTCCGGTTCAATTTTATTGACGTAGTCATTCATCATCAGGTAGGATAATTGTTGAACGCAAAAATGTCAGTGTCTGAAAATGACAGAAAATAAACGTATTTGAAGCAACTACATGAACATATTCATACAGTGACAACATTCATATAAAAACACCTCACAATCAGACAAAAAGGACATTGTGAAACCCCATACTACCTGTCATACTGCCAATTTAAAAAAAATATGATAGAAAATAGATAAAAATGAAAACAAAATTGGAGGAAGCTAATATCTAAAATATCACGAATTTCAACACTCGAAGTTCACACTTACAATAGGTTCATATGAACCTCTCGAAATTCTATGCCCAATTACAGAACTTATCCAGCGGTATTTCATGCTCAGGAACAACGGCAAAACCTGAATATCACACGGAAAGCACTGTACATTTATTTTACAGCAAACAGCACTTGGATATCACCTACAAGAGTTTATCTTCACACAACTTTACAGAAATGTAGCTGAATGATTTATCATGGTGGTTCCGTTTATACATACTTGCAAGCATACCACCATAATAGATATACAGAGCATTTCAAGAAATGTCAGTCAGTCAGCTACAACGTAGGATCAGGCACATATATGCATCAGTCCAAGTTGCCATACCTCATTAACACAACAAGATGGACACCGGATTCATAAAAGTAGTTAATTCAGAGGTGGTAATATATAAAAGAAAGATTGCAATAAGGATATAGTACAGGAAGAAAGAATTAGTTCGTAGAAAGAAAGATATGAAGCGATTTTAATCTCACGGTTTAAGAGAAGACAGAGAGTGTATACACCGACGTCATTGTGATCGATTCTGAGCCATGTAACAAAGAGTCTCCGACCATTGGTTACGATAGTCACGCGTACCCCAACCAAGTAGTCTGCATCTACCAACATGGCTCAGACTAGAGGTTAGTGACTTCAAGCACTGATGCCACGTTTTGGTTTGGCCGCCCCTACATTTCTTCCAACCATCCCGAACACCGGTTAGCATTGCACGTCGTGGTAGTCGGTGTTCAGGCATACGTAACACGTGGCCCAACCAACTCAGTCGATGAAGATTCACAACCTTATCAACTGATTTACCATCATCTCCTAATACCCTACGTCTAACCTCACTATTACTTACCCGGTGATTCCAGCAGACTCCAGCAATATTTCTGAGGCATCTGTGGTCAAATACTAGTAGCTTACGAGTGTCTTCTACTCTTAATGGGCATGTTTCGCTGCCGTAAATTAAAACAGAACGGACTGCCGCGCAGTATACTCGTCCTTTTATCGATAGACAGATATTTCGCCTTCTCCATAGGTGACGTTGTTGCTACCTTGACGTGGTGGTCGGGCTTGCCTATCGTGATGAAGCAACCGAGCTATATTGGCTGGAACAACTGTTCCTCAAGGTCCTACCATGTCAGAAAGGTCGGTTGAAGAGCGGTAAGACTAAAAGCAACAAACCCAAGGTCCGAAGGCGAAGTCGTACTGCTGACTGTACAGAGGTGTGACAGCAGTAAGGTGTTTCCTTCAGACAACCAGCATGACAGCGATGCTGCCTTCCCACAAGGAGGGGTGGGGTTAGAAAATGTCGACCCTAAAAATGCACACCTCGCCTTATCTCACGGATATCCGTCTCCGACGGTAGGGTCTCAACAACTACGGAGCTATCACAAAAATTACCCATGAAAAGGTCGTGTGACCGACCTCAGGCAGTTGTCCCTTGGGCACTGCGGTCACGCTCCCAGGTCACTAAGACCACCTGTAATCCAATTTCTTTTTCAGGTACCTCCAGAACAACTGTTCCACGGTGTGGGCAACCGGGAAGTGATAATTTAAAAACAACATAGTTTCTTCGTAATCTTAGAAAAAAACAGGAGACGTTTAGACAGTTATGAGCCTCTCCCAGCACTACAAGTAAGGATCGACCAGTAGGATATAAAATGTTTAAACCAATGAAAGGTTAATGACGACGTGTTTTTAAAAGGCATAGCATTAACGCGTGTACACATCTATACCAAAATAATAGTTTACTAGTCATGAAACAAAACATTTTGGGCAATATCTCCAAAGTTTTGGGTTTTCTCTAATGTCTCCAGAAGTTTCGGCAACTTTGGGGAAATCCATCTACGTTTAGTGATTAAACCCCAGTATTTTCCTCGCATTTAGGGGATATTCTGCACGATTTTCGGTTCTCCCCAATACCGTTGAAGTAGATGGAAGTGGTGGTTAGAACACCTATTTTTGAGGAACTACTTTATGAGTATGTACTCAGTAGATACTTACTTAGCTATTGTGGAAAAGTTCCGAGTCAAAATATTGGCAACTGGAAACTCAACTGTGACACATGCAGCTTTGAGAAAATGCACAGTATTGCATCATTGTATTAAGTTGTCATCACTTTGAAATCATTGCTTTCAGAAGATTATCTGATAACTGAGGGATTGAAAGTATCATTCACTGAAGTACTCGGTTACAAAAGCACAATTGCACCTGAGGATGACACGCTGACATGTAGAACAGAGAAGTCGAAGAGGTGAATTGATGAGCTTACACAATCCATTCATTGTCAGAGTTGTCAAACGCAAAATGAAAAACTACTTGTGCACCTCTGAAGAACTAGAGGTTACTGAAATGGAAGCTGCGTATGTCGCAGTTGAGTTTCCAGTTGCCAACATTTTGACTGGGGACTTTTCCCCAATAGTTAAGTACGTATCTATTGAGTACATGCTTATAAAGTAGTTCCTCGAAAACAGAAGTGTTCTCACCACCGCCTCCATCTACTTCAACGGCAGTTAGTAACCCGTAAGTTGGGGTAATTGCAAACATAATGAGAGTAAAATATTGATTCTGAAAGAAGTCAATGAACTATCTAGCAAGATGGACAAACTGACTGCTTACATCAAAAGCTCATACATGGATGTGAAGGACAGTTACAGCAATAGCCTAGACACTTCGAGTTGCGCGTTTCCATTGAAACCATCTGAGGAAATGCGTACTGTTAAAGCTGCTTTGGAGGAACAAAAGTTCCGTGACCCGTTCGTAAGTTGTGACAGCTGTTTATGAAATTTCAGGTGACCAGATTGTCCACGATCGTGTGTGATCTTCGGAAGTCAATCAAAGCGTGTCTGTATTACGTGCTGACACCGGAACTGGTAATTACTTATACCTTACGTGGGACTAAGAATAAAATAAATATAAATAACTACATATTCTACAGAACGATTTGAAGTACGTTCACATCACAGTCTTAATATATTTATAGATGTTCACGGTTTTGAAGTGCAACCTGTCCAGAGAAAGAAATAACACAAGTCAGGCTTTCTTGCACGACGCGAGAGATAAATTTAATAAGCGTGGATGGCGATCCAAAGAAAGGGTGAGCCAAATGTTCTTTTAATCTGTAATTGAATATCTGTTTCTGATTGTATATTAGTTTCTAACACATGTTTATACTGAAGTAACTATTTGCTGTATATTTTATTTTCAGCTGGCTTCGCAAGTGCTCACAGACCTAGCTGTAAACTTTTAGTTCAGCAAACATTATTATTACCACTAGTACGTAATCAACCTTTCACATGGTATTATGGATTCATATTTTGGATGTTTGCTATGACATAGAGCAATCGTTTGTCTACTATTGGCAATTTGGCTGTTTTGATACTGCGTTTGTAATGCAAAAGAGTAACGTTCCTCTTATTTTTGTAGAGCACTGTGGACGACAGTTTAACATCAACCCGATGTACCAAACCGAGGCGCAATTGCAATTGTGTCAGGATTCGAAGACATTAGTTATGGACGTACAGTTTATTTGTACATTTTTAAAACCTCAATAAACAATTTTATTTATAACGCATAAGTCCTTCAACTACGGAAATGCTTATTTGCCGCGACAGACCAGTTCTTGCTGCCGTGGTTTAATTGCTTTGAAACTGCGTTTAATTTGCGAAGTTAACTGAATAAAAGAATTGAGTAGGTGTGTATCAACTTGTGGGTACTTGTTAATAAGTTAGTAGACTTTCCTGAAAAATAGGTAATCTAGGGGTTTTTTCTAATAAGGTATTGGGAAGAACCGAAAATCGTGCAAAATATCCCCTAAATGCGGAAAACTATTGGGGTGTGGTAACTAAACGTAGATGGATTTCCACAACGTTGCCGAAACTTCCGGAGATATACTGGCGAAAATCCGAAATTGTGGAAATTCCCTAACTTATCAGAGATACCAAGTATATGAGTGCTTCCCTATGACACTGAAATTCTCTCTGACATCCTGGAAACCGAAAGTCGCAACAGATGTACGTTCTTTTTACCAGACCTGCAGCCTGTGAGGCAAGTATAGCACGATCAAAATCCACAAACAAAATTAAAAACTGACAACGATTACAACGTACTTAGTATCACAGTAGTAGAGCAAGCCATAACGTAACGCTACATTCAAAACATTGTTTCACTTTGAAAATAAGTCAAATGGATCTGGATGGAATAAAAGAAGCTTTAGGTTAACGGGCTTTCTTATCTGGTAGCAGTGGATCAACGATTCCTTCAGTCAGGAACCTAGGTATATTCAATGATAGAAAGCAAAATAAAAGTAAGTTATAAAGAAATACTATCTTTATTCCTAAAGAATATGTTAAGTCTTAAGTAATATATTTCTACCAGAGAAAATACTGGATTCCTGGAAAGTCACCCGAAACTTTTTAGCCGGCAGAGAATTCTAGAATTTGGCTGCTTATAAAGAGTAAAAAGTATGCCTACAGTCCATCCTGATGCATTTTCTCTAATTTCCGGGTGTTACACCTAGGGTTTGTGTTGTGACTAGGCTTAATTAGACATTTTTGGAGAATTTCATGAACGCTAGAGATTCTGTAAGTCATCAGAATGTCATCTCTGAACGCCAATACTCTAATAGGAAAAGACTCAGTGATCTGGGGTGTTCTTTATAATGTTCGAATGTGAGTCCACGAACTGATTTCGTGGCTTGTCTCCGGATACGTCCCAGCGTACTCTTATCGTTTTAAAGCAAGGGGAAAACTATAGTTCCATTCTGTAAGTGTGGTTAAGTAAAACTGTTGAAGATTAAGTGAAAAGTCCTACATCCGAACCGGCCAAAAATGCACGCTAATCTTACAAGTGCTAGATTTGGTCGGAAGGCATTTTTGTCGCCGTCGACGTGGGACTTCAGATCATAGGGTATAAAAACTCTTAGATCGTTTTTCAACCTGGGGTACCTCTAGGGGGGAGTTACCTAAGTTTTGTTCATAGTAAGTCCGTTCTCCTCCCACCCTTGAAGTCGAATCAGTCCCTCTAAAGGGCCAGCTTGTCATCTTGGTTGCAGACTTCTCTCCGAAGTTTCACATAGGCTGCATCAAATAAAAACTCTCAAGAAACTTACTGAGGAAGGTCATTTATATAGATTAACAAGTGAGGAAATCCTGGTCCTAAACCCTGAATGACCTCATTAAAGTATTCTGTAGCCTGAAAGAAATTAAAGATTACCCTAATCGTAATAAAACGATCATTTAGATCGTTTGTTAATAGTCACTTGTTACCTAACTGTTTGAGCTTATTAATGGGAGATGCACGATTGACCACACTTAAAGACTTTTGAGAAGTCAAGATATATGACATCAACCTTTGCCTTGCGATCAAGGATGGTTATCTGTCTGTCTAACGCGGCAGCAGGTTAGTTGTACAAAAGTTCTCCTTTTTGAAACCCTTCTTTTGGGGTGGGTAGTTAGTAGTCACCTAGACCGTCACATATCAGAGACCCTATAACTTTTGATGGTGATGAGAGAAGTGCTACCGGCCGGTAGCTTGAAGGTTCACAACGTCGACCTCGTTTGAAAATTAGTGAAGCGTGCTCCAGAATCTAGTTTTCTGGGACCGTTCCTTGACTTAGCAAATGTGAGATCATACACAGTGGTTTAACCAACAATTAATCCACTTGTCTCAGTATTGCTGAATGAATCATATCCTGGCCAGGAGATGTGTCCTTGTTTAAATGCTGTACTTTCTGGTGCACCACGTTTGATACTGAGAATCCTGTTGAGTTGCAGATGAACCTTACGCAGATTCAGGTTGTATGTGGCGGTTGAAATCTTTGAAAATACTGTTTTGACAAGAGCTTTGCGGTGTCACCGTCATTGTCAATTTGGGTATTATAACCTAACAATTGGGAAAATCTGGTTCTGGCTTGTCGAAGAAAGACCCTGGCAGAATAAGCTTTCCGGATTAGAAACGAATTTTTCGATTAGCTTGGTGTGATACTAAAACCCAACTTTTGTTCCTTGTGAGCATTATTTCCTTGCTTGTTTGAACTGCCTGTATGCACATTCGTCATTAGTTCATCGACATTCCGTCCAGTAGTACCATTTGTGTATTAGCATTGTGAGAGTGTGATTCTTCACGACCATTCATTGCGTGGGGGGCAGAATTGAAGTGCCGGTTGGAAATCCTTCGTTTATAAATTCGCAATCTAACTGTCTGTTTCTCCACCGAGTTGCTAAGCTCACATTTTTAAATAGTCTCAAATCTCCATTGAGGTTGAAAAACAGGACTTCAGTGGAGTTGTCACCATCAGTTTAAATGTGTGCCGGAAAGTTTGACTTGAGGTCTCCCAGAATAAGAATGAGTAAATCTGTGGTGAATAGAGCCGGATGAACTCCTTAGCAAACAACTGTCGTACTCGGCGTCAGCAGTGGTCTTCCTGCAGTCAATTTTCACTAGACATCTCAAGGTGTTAGACGATCTCAATGAACATCATATAGGTCAGTCAGGATTGATAAACTGCTGCGTATGCACTTGATCTACTATCAAGAAGAATCATCGGCACAGGGCGACTTAGGACACTGTTATGAATGGTAACTTTTGAGAACTGTTTGTGTACAAATATTAGACATGTGTTCCTAATGTATAAATGTTTAGTAGCTAAATTATACACAACTATACTCCTCCAATTACAAGCTTTATTTTAACACACAAGCTATTATTACACGATTTACTGTTCTAGAGTTATGCCCAGTCTACTAATTACAGTCTCCCACGTACACAGCCGATTTACGTGATTATTTGCAAATGTTATTTTATACGATGTGGTCTGTTTGGTTTGTGTATAAACCCTTGCTTACCTACTTACGCTTGTTACCCCTCGTGGAGGAGCATAGGCAACCCACATGCATTCTACATCCAATGTTGACAAAAGCGGATTTATTCACATTGGTCGCTGTCTTAACTTAAATCTGACTGTACAGACACATACACTCAAACCTCTCAACACTGTTCGTGACCTGGGTTTAAGATATAGCAATAGTCTGAACTTTTCTGAACACATTATATCTCAAGTATCCAAAGCTAGAAAGCTCATCGGATTGATAATGATAAACTTCAATAATATCGAATCGAGATTGTTACTATACAGAAAATGTGTCTTGCCCATTCTTGAATATGGTATTTTAGTTTACAGTAATTGTAGACATAATGATCTGATTAGAATTGAAGGTGTTCAAAGAAAGTTCACCAAAGCTCTTCTGGGGTATTCCGATAACAAAGACTATCGCCAAAGATGTCAACAACTCAACTTAGAACCTCTTTGGATCAGACGTATCAAATTAAATCTTGTCTTTATCTACCGGCTCATTAACGGTATTTCCTACTCATCGGTATCTACCCCTTCATACCTTATAATATCGTCCCACAATCTACGCAATAAGGAGAATATTCTAGCGATTCCAAGAACCCACACAAACTTACGTCAGAATTTTTTCCTTATTCGCTACTCAACCATGTGGAACAGACTGCCAGTGAACCTCCGTTGCAGTGAAACTACAACCCGGTTCAAAAGTCTCCTTGACGATTTTCTTTCCGAAAGTGGATTATGCCACCTATTGAATATCAATGTATTCAATAATGATTTATACAAACAAGGTCCGTCATTTATTTAATTGCTTGAAAAGCAAAATAAAACCTTTAAATCTTTTCACGTCTATTTTGTTTTATTTCTCTTTATCTTAATATATGAAGTCTGATTATGTTCGTGTTTTATCATTATTACCGTTATTGTTATCATTATTAGTTCCCCGACACATTAGATATTCTTTTTGTATCTTCTTACCCTTCTAAACATATTTAACTCCAAATTGTCCTTTGAAATATTTATACTAATATCCGGTTTCACCCTGTATACTATTACATAAATCTAAATGTATTCATCCGAGTGCATTGAAGGATTTTTATTTCATTTTTCTAAATTGTTGGTTTCCTTCTGAGGCTGATATTCATTACACAATTATTATTCTTATCATGGATCAAAACTTTTCACTAGGTGTTCACTTCTTTTCTCTTTTCTTTCCCTCTAAATAAATATTCTTAAGACTACGAAGTTTTAATTAAGACAATAACTTGTGTTTTATCTTCACTATGCATATATGACTACTCATACACATAGATATTTTATTACCTTTTTCATTTAATTGAGACTTTCATAGCATCACTCCAAACTATGTGACTGCACAGACATTTATATTCTAGCGTCATATCTTACTGCAATTATAAGTTATTTTTTCTTAATTATTTTTTGTTACTAATTTAACGATACACACATAGTCGTTTATTCTTGTTCTGTGTTCATAAACACGCTTATTAGACTGTTTGCGTATTTCATGTCTCCTTTATTTCTATTCTCTTATTTTCTCCATTTCCTTCTTTAAACCCAATTCAATATTCTTCTCAATTACAAAGACCCCATTTATTATTATTAATACTCTACTATTATTATTCTCAATTATCTATTTTATTTTCATTATTATTATTTTTTTTAAATATGGCAAGTATAATGCTAACATTATTGAGAATTGTGTATAATTGCATTTTCTGAAGAAACCCGAAATGGTTTCTTCACAACACTTATGTACCCATAAGATGTTTGTGAATAATAATAATAATAACCCTATCCTGGAAAGTCCTTTCCAGTTATTTCCAATTGCTATTCATCCTTTTCATGTCTGCTTCCCATTCCCAACGTAGTGTGATCCTCAGCCTTACATTTTTTTCTTTCCCCTTCACAATTACGAGTTAGCACCTGCCTCGTGATGCACTCTGATGATTTCCTCAATGTATGTCTTACCGACTACTAGCGTCTTTTTCCAATTCCCTCTTCAGTTGGAAGCTGCCTTGTTCTCTCCCACAGTACGCTCCTCCTGATGGTATCCGGCCAACGGACATTCAGTATCACACGTAGACGATTGTTTATAAATACTTCTAACCTCGTGATGATGGTTGTAGTAGTTCTCCAGGTTTCAGCTTCGCACAGCAGAACTGTTTTGACGTTCGTTATGAAAATTCTAACTCTGATATTGGTTGACAGTTGTTTTGAGTCCCACATGTTCTTTAATTGCAGAAATCCGGACATTGCTTTGCCAATCCTCACCTCTACGTCTACATCACATTTTTCATGTTCATCGATGGTGCCACCTAGATACGTGAATGTTTCAACCTCTCTCAGAGTTTCTCCATCAAGTTTGATGCGGTTGGTGTTCTCCGTGTCGTATTTGAGGATATTGCTTTTTCCTTTGTGTATGTTGAGGCCTACTGGT